AAGTAAGGCCCCAGGACCGGATGGCCTAACGGCTGGCTTCTATCAGCATCACTGGGAATTGTTGGGCCCGGGAGTGACAACAGCGGTGTTGGATTTTCTAAATGGGGGTGTAATGCCAGAATCGATTAATAGGACGACAGTCGTCCTAATCCCAAAGATTAAATGCCCGCAGGATATGAAGAATTTCAGACCAATCTCCTTGTGCAATGTGATATATAAAATCTGTTCAAAGGCGTTGGCGAATAGATTGCGGGGTTTACTGGATGAAATTATTGCAGAGGAACAAAGTGCGTTTGTGCCAGGTCGATTGATTACTGACAATGTGTTAGTGGCATATGAATGCACTCACTATCTGCAGAGGAAGAAAGGCAAAACAGGAGCCTGTGCAATTAAGCTCGACATGGCTAAGGCGTATGACCGTGTTGAGTGGGAGTATCTGAGGGAGATTATGTTGAAATTGGGATTTCATGAAGGCTTTGTCTCTCTGATAATGAGATGTGTAACATCAGTATCTTTCTCAATTAAAGTGAATGGAGTTCTTACAGAGAGTTTCAGGCCTTCGCGTGGTATCCGCCAAGGTGATCCTATATCACCCTATCTCTTTCTGCTTTGTGCGGAAGGGCTGTCTTGTTTGCTCAAATCTGTTGGTCCAGTGCACTTATCCAGAGGTGTTCGCTTGGGCATCCATGCTCCCTGGGTATCGCATCTTCTCTTTGCGGATGATTGCATCGTTTTCTCAGAAGCGTCGCAGAGGGGGGCCGCCAGAATACAATCGATCCTTGATATTTATAGTCGAGGATCGGGACAGCTTGTTAACAGAGAAAAATCGGCAGTATTCTTCAGTAAAAATTGCCTAGAAGAAACAAAGGACATGGTGCGGCAGGAGCTCCACATTGAGACTGAGGCATTGGCTGACAAGTATCTGGGGTTACCAACTGCTGTGGGTCGGTCCAATGCTGAATCCTTCGAGTATATGCCTGCAAGAATCAAGGGCATCATTGGTTCCTGGAGTGGCAGGGCAGCGAGCAGTGCGGGGCGGGAGGTCTTGCTCAAATCAGTTGCGCAGGCGATACCAACCTATTCTATGAGCTGCTTCCTCCTCTCCAAGGTCACGTGCAAGAAGATGAGAGCGGCTATGATGAATATTTGGTGGGGAGGATCGGCTGACAACCGACGTATCCATTGGCTTCGTTGGGACCGTCTTACTCACCATAAGTCACAAGGAGGTATGGGTTTCAGGGACTTACATTTATTTAACAAAGCTCTGCTGGGTAAGCAAGGATGGCGACTGACCATTAGGCCTGACAGCTTATGCGGCCGGGTCCTGAAGGGCCGCTATTTCCATGATACTGATTTTATGCGGAGCACTCGGAAGAAACACGCTAGCCAAACATGGAGAGCTATCCTGGCTGGGAAAGAGGTGTTACAAAAGGGCATGATTAAGAGGATCGGTGATGGCTCCTCGACAAACATATGGTCTGACAGATGGATTCCGAAACACTTTGATGCTCGTCCATTGACACCGAGAGACGGCCATGTAGTCTCTCTGGTGTCGGATTTGGTGACAGCGTCGGGGCAGTGGAATGAACAGCTGATCCGGGAGACCTTTATACCGGTTGATGCAGCGGCGATCCTTCGTATACCGCTGAGGCCGAATGCGGAAGATTGGTGGGCATGGGAGCCTGAAAAGCATGGTGAATACTCGGTGAAAACGGCCTACAGAAAGCTTGCTGATGCACAGCAGCAAGGTGAGCCAACAACGCCGGGAGGATCAGGTGATGCTTCATGGAACCGAATTTGGAAACTCAATGTCCCCCGAAGGTTAAAGTGTTTTGGTGGAGAGTTCTCCATGAATTCCTACCAGCCAAATCGGTGCTATATCAGCGCCACATCGAGCAGACGGCTTTCTGTGATCTATGTGGAGCGGAGCAGGAGTCCATTCAACACATCTTGATTCACTGCACAGTGGCGAGCGTGTTTTGGAGGGAGTTCAGAACTGTATCAGGTCTGAAACTACCAAGTCTGCATCCTCACTATTGGGCGTCGGACATCCTGCGTCCTGAAGTTTGCTCGGAGAAGGACAGGGACCTCATCATCATCGGCATGTATTCACTGTGGTTCCAAAGGAACCAACGCCGGCACAGCGAGCAACAGATGCCGATCTAAGCGATGGTGCAGTGGTCGGTGGATACGGCCAATGATCTGTGTCAGATTTCTCAGGCCAAGAAGGCAACCAAACCGGGTGATACTAAGAAAACTTGGAAGACACCACCGATGGGTTGGTACAGATGCAATGTGGATGCTGCCTTCTATTCCGATGCTGGCCAAGGGGCGACGGGAACTGTTCTTAGGGGTCCGGCTGGAAGCTTCATAGCAGGCCGGGCTAGCTGGTACCCCCATGACATAGACGCGCTGATGATGGAAGCCCTTGCCTGCAGGGATGGCATGATACTAGCGCGAGACAGCGGCGTAGAAAGACTGCAGCTCGAAACTGATTGTCAGGAGCTGGCCGTCCTGTGGTCAAGGAGAACATACAAAAGGTCGTATCTGGCAGCGATCTTCAGAGATATTGAGGAGACTAGTGTAAATTTTATTGATTTTAGTTTGATGTATGCCAATCGATCTTGTAATCGCGTCGCTCATATGTTAGCAAAGCAAGTCACGGATGACATCAGGTTGGGTGAGTGGCATTCAGCCCCAACTTGTATTGATCTCCTGCTGACTGAAGATTGTAATCCGGTGAATGAATGAATGAAAGTCCTTAATCGCAAAAAAAAAATACTATGGGGAATTTCATTTCATCTGGTAAGATTTTAATTTCTGAGCTAAAACAAAATATTTATTTATTGCGAACGGTGGACACGCAAATGTCCGTCGTACAGTATGTTTCCCATGGATCAGCTTTCTTTTTTTTTTTTCTTTTTTTTGAAATTGGAAAATTCCATTACTCAACTACCAAACGATCGGCAGTGACAATAACATTTACAACGTTCGGGATGGAGCTAGTGATCAGCTCTTCCCCTTCCACACACTCATAACCCAAATCTGCCAAGACGTGTGCAGCTCTATTACACTCTCTTCTTTTAAACAAACAAACAAAAGAGAAAAAGTTTGAATCTACTAAAGCTCTAAGTTCATTCACCAGCCCTCCTTTAGATCTTGCACAGGTACCTCTGATAACAACTCTTGCTAGAGCATTAGAGCATCAGTTTCAAGAATTAATCTGATGATCCCCATAGACAGCGCTGCTTGGATTCCTTGCAGGTCTGCTATATCCTCTGCATGGAAAGCAGCACTTAGCAGATGATTGATGCGCCCCCGACCTGTGACTACTACATCACCCTCATGGTCACGTATGATGAAACCCCAACTGCCTGTCTTTGAGTCGCCTTGAACGAAGCATCACAACAATTTAGGGGATGTTTGGATTCAATGACTAAAGTTTAGAAGGTGTCATATGGAGGTGTCGTATGGGGTGTTCGGATACTAATAAAAAAACAAATTACAGAATCCTTCAGTAATCCTCGAGACAAATTTATTAAGCCTAATTAATCCGTCATTAGTACATGTTTGCTGTAGCACCACATTGTCAAATCATGAACTAATTAGGTTTAAAAAATTCATCTCGCAAAACAGTCTAAATCTGTGTATTTAGTTTTGTAATTAGTCTACACTTAATACTTTATGTATGTGTCCAAATATCCGATGGGATAGCGACTAAAGTTTAGGAGATGAATCAAACGCCCCCTTAGTTTCACTGTCCCCTCCGGTGGCCTGCTCCATTGTTGCTTAGATTTTACAGAACTAGAGCTTTTCTTCTCCTGCTGTTTAGATATCTCAGCTGCATATAACCTGATGGATCGAGCTAATGTGTCAGCGCTTCTTCGCCTCCCCTCTTCACGCACCAAGTTTCTTTCCGTCCACAGAAACCATAAAAGAATTATCATATTCAACCTGTTGTCTTCTCTCACCCTCATAATATACTCCATCACTCTAGATTTTTATATTACTCCTGTCGCCTATTCTCCAAACCATCACCCTGTTCGCTTGAACTTATCAGCTCAGTTTATCAGTAATGGTACAGTATTTTTCTCTCACAGCAAAACAGCACCAGCCGACTTATCAACTGCATAAACCATCCAGCGAACATGCTGCATGCCTTTCTTCATTATTTCCAGCCCGTGCAAAATGCTACGCCAGCTGTATGACATTCATGCTTCGGTTTAGCCTCCAACACCCAAGTAGTTGCATAATATTTAGCTTTCAGTACTTAGCACGTAAGATTCTGGGTTTTGCCACAGCCGCCAACATATACTTAATAACATGAATGGATTTTGTCTTATTTTAAGTAAAAAATTAATATGCGCGCTCGATTGTCTCACGCTGGGTGAGGCTCCCCTCCTCAGATGGGCATCAGGCCGACCGGACAATCCGTAGTGGGCCTGACACAAGTTAAGTGGCCCGGTCCGTTACTAAGGTCGGGTTTAAAGTTTTAAGATGTCACATCGAATATCACGGAGTATTTGATACTAATAAAAAATAAATTATAGAATCTGTCGGTAAATCACAAGACGAATTTATTAAACCTAATTAATCCGTCATTAGCACATGTGTTACTGTAGCACTTTATTGTTAAATCATGGACTAATTAGGCTTAAAAGATTCGTCTCAAAAATTACACGCAATCTGTGTAATTATTTTTTTTTACTCTATATTTAATACTCCATGCATGTGTCAAATATCCGATGTGATAGGATGTAAAGTTTTTGGGTAGAAATTAAATAAGGCCTAAGTTAAGTTCTCTAAGGCCCACCCAGCCTTTTTCCTAGCCCGCTGCTCCTTGCCCCTTCTCTCTTCGTCACGCCGCCCCGCCGCTGCAGCAGCCCAAGCCGCCTCCGCCTCCGACGACTCGGCCATGGGCCATAGCGACGTCCCCAGCTCTCCTCTTCCCTTCTCCCTCCTCGGCATCCTCGTCGCCGTCGTCGGTGCGGGTGGAGGCGATGGCGCTCTTCAACGTCTGCGACAGCTACGTGCGGCGCCCGGACCAGGCGGACCACGTCATCGGCACCCTCCTCGGCTCCCTCCTCCCCGATGGCACAGTCCACGTCCGCAACTCCTACGTCGTCCCCCACAGTGAGTCAGCCGACCTGGTCGGTTCAGATCACATCTCCAACCAGCTCACTGATCGATTCATTCGTTCGGTCCCATTGGGTTACTTACTACTCGCTGATGTTGGGCGGTGATGCAGGTCGCCATCGACATCGACTACCACCATAGCATGTAGAGCGCTCTAACATGTACGCCTCGCACCAGAAGGTGAACCCCAAGGAAGTCATCGTCGGATGGTGAGCAACCATCCCCTGGCCTCACAATTCTCTACATCCATAGCGCGAAATTGGGCATATTTTGCAAACTCCGTTTATATGCAACAGCTGGATCCCTGGTGCATAGTATTTGCTGTTTTTGAGCTGAATTAGTTTTAGTGGATGCAGTCGTTTTTTAATCAAATGCACCACACTAGGATACTGTATTGACATTACATGCCTGATAGCAGCTACAGCTTTGTCTTTTTTATTGCATTGTGGACAGAATAGCTATATAGTAATTAGTTCTTGTTAGGATCGATGTGTGTACCTCTGTGTAAGTAACCTGTAGATCCGGGGAAGACTTCATCCTTGTCTTCTCCATAGATGTACAACAGCGGGTAGACGTCGGTGCCGCGGTAGCTCCGGCTCGGTGGAGTCCGTGATGGTGGCGATCCAGTGGCACTGTGGAGACCCAGTCCAGTGGCGCCGGCGGTGTCCCTGCATAGGCGACGGCGGTGGTGGTGGGGCACATCCCGTCGCTGGCAGCACGCTTTAGGATCGGATTAGGGTTAGCTCTGTAGGTGGGTGGCGACTCCGTTCAACCTCATTGTCCGAGCCCTCACCCCCGCCTTCCTTTTATGTGTGCTGTGCGACAGGAGCCCACCAACCGAATTAGGGTTGGGCTCCCCCGATCAGGGAGCAGATATAAGGGGGGCCTATTGGTGGAGATCAACTAGCATTCTCCCCCTTGATCTCATTCCATCTTTCATTTTGATATCATTTACTTTTGTTCATTCCATTACAGATTAGCTCATAGAGCATGTCTCATCGTCACGGTTCATTGCCGATAGACTTAATAGCTATAACTCACTACTCTGTTCTGAAATAGATACTTATCTTTGGGCCTTCTTTTATCTAGAAATATTTTAGGCTTTCCCTTAAACTCCAAGCTAGCTACATGTTCTCTAAACACCATGTCCTCTGAACATGTTGGGTGGTAAGCCTTTTGTAAGCGGATCCGCGAGCATCCTTTCTGTTTTTATATGCTCAAGACTTATGACTTGATCCCGGACTTTATCTTTCACAACATAATACTCTATGTCAATGTGTTTGGCAGCACCACTTGACTTATGTTGTGAGCATCCTGTACTGCCAGATTATAATCACAGTATTACTTTAGTGATCTATAGATGTCGTCAACCACCTTCAAACCGGGTATGAACTTCGTTAGTTAGTTCACCTCCCCGTTGCCTCATAACACGCTACAAACTGCCATACATTGTGGACGATGTAGTGACAGTTTGCTTTGAGCTTTTCCAGTGTAACACCTAAAATTTGCAATCTTTTAAAATAGTAAATTTGATTTATTTATGTTATATTGTGTGCATTCAAATATAGGAAATTAATAATTTTTGTGGAATTAAAATCAATCATAAGTATAGCAACATGTATGTGCATTCATGCCGTTGCATATTATTTTGTGAATGTTTGGTATTGATCAAAATTTCAAAGAGAATTAGAATTTGAATTGGAATTGGTTTTGAAAATATATTTTAGGAAATAGAAAAGGAGTTTTTTTTTTTTTATTAGGCTTGTTCACCTTCTTTCTTTTTAAGACCACATCGCATGTAAGATACATCCTCTCTCTCCTTCCCGCCACCAATCACACATGCCCACCGGCTTTACTTTCGGGCCCAAGAAGCCCCCTTGCCCACTTGATCAGGCGCCATCTCTACCTTGGTGCTTATTGTCCTTGTTCTCATCTTCACTCTTTGACCACGCTTTTAGACCTCCATGGCCCCACTTGTCGGCGCCGTCTCCCTCCTTCCGCAACCGCCGCGCCAGTCAAGCCGCAAGCCGCAACTGCCTCCTCGCCCACGTCTTGCGCCATCGTGGAGCGTCGCCCGCCTGCCTCTACAAAAGGAAGCCGAGGCCATCCCCGCACCCTCTGTTGTTGTTCCCCGCTCCCTCTGGCGTCGCCGTGCCCGAGAGAACCACCGCCTCGAGGTCGCCGGGATCCACCGTCCGCCCTCCGCGTGAACCGCTGACTCCGAGCCACCGTCGACCCTATTTCTCCCCGCTGTGAGCTTCACCGTGATCCCCTCTCTCTCCCCATGCAACTTATTTCCCATTTCGTAGGCCGTAGACCTTGTTTTGTGTAAAAGCCCACAAGAATTTTCGAGCCGCCCCCATGGCGCCCGCCGCCTCCTCCTCCGGTGGGTCTTCTCGACCGAGAGTGATCCCTCGCTCCCTCCCTCTCTTCGGATCGTTCGCAATGTGCGCATCGTCAGTTAATCGTGGGTCGAGGGCCAAGAATCGAGCTCTCGACGTGTTTCGTCGCCGGAAATGGAGGAGCGCCATGCCCATGCTGCTCTCGTGCCCGCCGAATTCTTCACTCTCCCTCCCCAGGTCTAATCCGAGCCCTCCATCCATGATCCGACGGCCGTGATCAGCCGATACCCCTTCGCGTGGCTATTTTGTAAAAGAGACCTTAGACTCTTCTAAGTCCTAACCCGCAGTCCAAGGCGTAGTTTCCCGAATGCGCAATCTCGTTTGGAAAACGTAAACTCCACGGCTTAAGTGAAAAATACGTTTTCAGTATTTACAGAAATGCCATTTGAACCGTTTCGCTTATAAAATTGTCGTTTTAGCTCCAAATTGATCCGTTCAAATCGCGTTAGCTTCATAATTTCATAATCTACATGTTATAACCACTGTTAGTCAAGTTTGGAACTTTTAAATTTCATGGTTAGATTTAATTAAATATATTGCTATAGGAAATCCCGTTTAAATCATAACTTTCGCATTCTAGCTCCGTTTTTCGTGAACTTCGCGTTGTTCTTGATACTGCGTGATCGTGATATAGCATGGGCCTACCTTGATGTCCTATTTCACTTTAATCAATTACTCATTTGCGAGACGTAGATCATTTTCACAAACATTTTATCTTATTTTCTATACTGTTGGTGTACTGTTCTAATGATGATAGGAATGTTTGCTTTGCATGAATGTTTTTGGAATGTTGTATGTTGCCGTGTCGATATGTGCGCGTTCCTAGACGGTGAGGAGAACGTTGGAGATCAAGAATTCTTGACGACCAGCCAGGTAGTGACATGGGAGTAATTAGCAAGAGTTTGTGAATGCAGATGACAACAAACATTATATGAGGAGTTTCTCGATGACTCATTGGTAACATTTATGATGGTTTATGTTGATATGATTCATCTTGTTAAGTGGGTTTAAATGGGAAGTACTTGACTTGATAATAAAATCTTGTCTTACTTTCTATATTTCTCCCCATGTTATTTGGATAAAAATCCGGATGGGTAACAGATGACAACGGATATGAGGAGTTTCTTGAGGATTATTACGCTTGTGGTCAACCAATCGACCGTCCCTGTGATGGAGTTCCACGAGAGAGTTATCTTTTTATCTCCCGCTGTGTTATGTAAGACAATGTGATGCTATTATTCGTTATGTAAGATACACCGTGATGATACTTTTTATAATTTGTCAACTTATGTGTGTGACTGATCCCTGGGCACACATGAGTTTAGTGCATTCAATTTTATCCTTAAAATTGGGTGTGACATCCATGAAATAGCTCCCCTTTGCGAGATGATAGAAAATCCACGTCTAGATATGCATTCACTCTCGCATAATCAGAATCTGAATATCCCACCATGTGGAGTGAATCAGATCTTCTATATGTCATCATGAGACCTTTCGTTCCTTGCAAATAATGCAAGACTTTCTTTACTAATTTCAGTGTTCTATTCCAGAATTGCTCTAGAATCTGCCAAGTAAAACCCGATAACAAATGACAAGTCAGGGCGCGTACATACTTGAGCATGTTGCAAACTTCCGACAGCTGAAGCATATGGAACCACTTTTACTTTATCGATTGAGCTCATATTGGTTCCTAGGGCATTGAAAATCCCCATATCTGTCGTCCTTGACTATAGGAGCAAGTGAGGAACTACATTTGTGCATACTGAATTTCTTTAAGATCTTTTTCATGTATGCCTTTTGTGACTGTCCTTATACCCTTTTTCTTCTATCTCGGTGAGTCTCGATCCCTAGAACGAACGAGGCTTCACCAAGATCTTTCATATCAAATTTCTTTGTCTCCAGTAGTAGACTGACATCACTACTAGCAAGTAAGATATCATCTACATACAGGACAATGAAGATAAACTTTCCATTCTTAAAATTTGTATTGACACAATTGTCCTCTACATTATCTTTACTTTGTATAGACACAATTGTCCTCTACATTCTCTTTAAAACCCAAAATCCTTTATTGTCTGATCAAACTTCAAGTACCACTGTCTTGAAGCTTGTTTTAATCCATGAATGGATTTCTTTAGACGGCATCCCGTTCGTTCTTTTCCTTCCATAACAAAACATTTCGGTTGTGCCATGTAAACATTTTTCTCCAAGTCTCTGTTGAGAAATGTCGTCTTTACATCCATATGATGTAATTCTTAATCGTAATGTGCCACTAATGCCATTATGATTCTGAAGGAAACTTTACATGAGACTGGAGAAAAGGTCTCATTATAATCAATCCCTTCTCTTTGCATAAAGCCTTTTGCCAGAAGTCACACTTTATATGTCTTTATATTCCCTTGAGAGTCATGTTTAGTCTTGTAGACCTATTTACAGCCTACTATTTTGACTCCTTTAAGAATTATTTCCAAATCCCAAACTTTATTGACATTCATCGATTTCATTTCATCTTCCATTTGAAATTCCTTAGTGTTATACACTTCATAATCAGCAGAAATAGCTGATTTTCTAACTCTTTGAGACCTTCTAGGGGCCTCCACTTTTGGCACATCTTCTGTTTGAGGCTGTTGTTGCTCCCCCTTATGTGTGGCAATAGGTTCTATAGGATCCTGAAGAATAGGTTCCTCATCGTCATTCATTGTTGCCACAGGTGGGATAACAACAGGTGCTGGTACCACA